CATAGAAACATAGACCGCAATCTGGGGCATGGTCTGAGTAGAAAGCCACTGCGATTGCCCCAAGATGGCTCTGCAGGTAGTGGTCTCCTCACTCGTCAGCTTGGAATCTGGATCTGCCTTTCGGTTGCGCTTTACGTTGATCGGCTGAATCGTTCTCGCATACTTCTCCTGGCTTAGGCGAAACCCGCCATCCTCGTTGCGAGAAACCTCCACACCGCAAACCGAATATCCTTCGACATCGGATTTTCACATTCCCCATCTGTACAACGTCTTGAGATGCTTGTACTCAGACTCGAACTCCGTGTTGTTGATGTCCCCCGTGATATGGAAGTCGTCCACATGAACTCGGATGAATCCGATCACCTTGTCCGAGTTGACCTTTGTGAAAAGGCACGCTCGAGTTTGCACGAATACCAGCCTCTTGCCTCGAGATCCTTCTTGACCTTCTCGTGCCATCTCCTTGGAGCATTGGTAAGTCCATAACAAGCCTTCAGGATCTGAACCACATCGTCCTCATTCAGGTTGAGTGCTTCTCGAAGCTGGGGTACAGGTAGTGCGCAAAGCTTTCTCTCCTCTTCAGTAGCTTCTCCTTGAAGAAAGGCTGATGGAGCATCTGCAAGCCACGTCCCCCAACCATTGTTGGCAGCCATCTGGTACACCATCATTCTTGCCTGTCGTGACGGTGTCGGTGACTCCGTCTTGAGCGTCTCTAGATCCTTGTCGGTGTAGCCGATGAGCACCAGTCTGGTTTTCGCCTTTCTGCCTCCGTCGGCCTCTGGATCCTCCTTCCAGGTCAGAACCCATCTCATCTTCATCAGGTCGACGTCCGGCAGCTTGCTCCTGAGAACACCACGGCACGCTTGAGCGAGTAGGAACTGGTCCACCTCCTTCTTCATGGCTACGTCGAACTTCGCCTTGTCTAGGTCATCCAGCTTCTTATAACTCACCTCAATGCGTTGCCTCCTCGCCTGCGTAGCGACGTACAGGCGCGGGTCCTTCACGAAGCGGTTGAAGGCCTCCTTGGATGGCATCGCTATGGAGACGTAGACAGCCTCCTTCCTGCCTGTGGTAACATCCTGCTCTCCGCTGAGTTTCGGGATGGAGTTCTGTTCGCCTTGAACTCGTTCGTGGTGATCGTCCGTCTCTCTCTCCCTCTTGGTACCTGTCTTTTCTTCCTTGCGCGGCTTCTTCTTAGTCGTGCCCTGATCTGCACCTGGTCGCAGTCGCTCTGAGCCTTCCGGTGGTTGTCCTGGTGGATCTGGTGGCTCCAGGTCGGCAGCCGATGTATCGTCATCCTTGGTGATCTCCGACTCTTCCTTCTTTTCTTCGTGCTTCTCTTCCTTGTCATCTTTTGTCCTCCTCGGCCTTGTCGGACTTCGTCGGTATCCCTTCAGGTGGTTGCCGGTGTAGGTTCGTCTCGGGCTGACCTCCATCCGCTTTGCTTGGAAACTGATCTTCAGGTTCCTCCACCCATGCATCGTCCAAGTCGTCCAGGTCTGGAGTGCGCTGCCCGATCAGGTCCTCGTACTGGCTCTTTTAGATTTTTAGCATGGCAGCTGTGATGTTGAGAGGAATTGCTTCTCCGTGAAGTAGTTGGTGCATCTCGATCTCCACTTCGGTTGCTTTCCTGAGATGTGCCTTGCCAGCTTGTAGTAGTCGACCGTGGTGCTCGATCCAGACAACAGACCCTGGATGTCCGTCAGCTCCCGGTTCTTGAGCAATAACCGTCGCAGGTCCTGACCAGATCCCGCCCGGCTGCTTGAGGTTGCCTTTCGCTTTCCCTGACCACCAGTAGCACAACTGTCCAGTAGTCCACGTGGCCTTCTCCCTCGTCTTCCGCAGCTCCAGTAGAGCGAGACGCCGTCTGGAAACGGTCTCGAGAAACGCCTTCCTGGCCTCGAGTCGCACCTTCTGGTTCTTAACATACTCGTCGTCCTCGGCATCGTAGGTCTTGCTCATGATTGGTAAGTTGTGATCTTGTCCGAACACGTCTCCGACAAGCGGTTCAGGTGTCTTGCCCAGCATCATCTCGTAGGGTCTGTGACCTTTGTACCTGCCGAGGTCGTTCATGGCGTCGATTGCCTCAGAGAAGATCTCGTCCGCAGTGACACTGCTGTTGGACTCCTCCGCAATATTGTACATGGTGTCCTTGAGAATCCCGATGTTTCGCTCGCATAGAGCCAGCTGGTTTGAGCCTGCCTGGCTGTGGCATCCACCATGATACCTCGCGATGATAACCACTCCTTTACCTTCTTCTCCACATGACATCCCTCACCGTCCAGACGAAGCACCGCGGGTCGGCCCAGCCATAGTACTGCATCCATTTCTGCTGTAGCGTCTTGCGGAACTCATCTCCAGACTTCATGAGTCTTCCCTTCAGGCTGAGAGTTCTACCTCCTAGCCGCGTCCCCGTACACACGATGTAGGTGCCGGTCCAGACCTGCAGATCGCGCGGGTCCTGCCAGTAGAAGCCGTCCGTCTCGATGACCTTGCCAGGCGT